GCCTTATGTCCATTTACTCTGCTGTTCACCGCATCCAGCCGCTTGACTCTGCTGCTCGCCCAGGGACCCTGACTCCCCCCCCCCCCATGCATGGCACTTCCACTTGCTCCGCAAGCTGCCCGGGACATTCTATCATCATTATCTTTTTAAAAGAACAATACACAGAGTATCTTGAGTTAAAAAAAAAAGTAGACCATATATTTTCAACATACAATGGCACATAATATATATTACCATTCCAAAAGACAGGAAGGGGAATGTAGTGAAGAAACACTAGACCAAAGCAGAAACAAAACCCAAGAGGACAAACTCCAAACTCTGCATCTCCAGTTCCAATGTCAAAGCTCTCTCCAGAACTCTGTCTCCTTCCAGCAGTTTTGTTTTCTGCAATACCATAATCTCTCTGTCTCTCTCTCTTTTTCTGCTTTGTCTCTCTATCTCTCTCTCTGCTTCCCTTCGGGATCTGTCTTATGGAAAAACCTAGCTTCAGCTGCTTTTCTTAACCATTGGGGATTAGTCTATAACTTCTTTCCTGTATCTTTCTTGATAAAACCAGAACCACCTGGTTGAAGCAGCCAAATTCTTCTGCTTGCTGGGGCTGGAACCTGGGCTCCTCCCTGACTTTCATTTGCATAAGCTTTCTATTGTCGCTGATTTCCTTTGCTGCTTAAGCTTCCCTTTAATTCATTTTCACAAGTTGGAAGCTCAGTTGGGTGGGGTCTTGCCCTGAGGCTACCACTCCCTTTGTTCTGTTTAGCATTAGACTTTTCTTTAAATCTTGTGTTTCCTAGTGCACAGAATTTGGCTCCAACACTTCCCAGGTGCTCTTTGTTGATTTTTTTTGACAGGGTCTCACTAGGTAGCACTATGTAGACCAGGCTGGCCTTGAACTCACAGAGATCTGCTGGGAATAAAGGCTTCATGCCAGAACTGTTTGGTTTTTGTCCTTTTTGAGGCAGGATCTTACTATTCCTGGTGCTCCTTTTTCCCTCAAACTGTACATTTTGTATTCTTTTATCCCTGATTGTTCTTTTTCATTGTAGCTCTGCATAAGAGTGACCATTAATACTGCATGACACAGTCAATACTAAGCTATCTTGAAATCTTCTCTGCCAAAGCCATTAATCCAAAACTCTTCCATTTTGCCTCAGGCAGATTTTTAGGACTAGGGCAAAAAAAAAGCAACCACATTCTTTGCCCAAATCTCTCAAGAACGATCTTTAGGCCAGCCATATTCTTCCTTCCTCTCTGAAATCTCTTGAGCTGACCCCTCACATTCTACATTGCTCTCAGCAACACTGTCTACCATGATCTTATTAGGATGTCCCATTAGGTCACACTTAAAGCACCCAACCACTTTTCTAGCCCAAAGTCCCAAAATCTTCTGTATTCCTCCAAATCACACTGTGATCAGGCCTGTCACATCAATACCCCACTCCTGCTACTACTTCTGTTTGGTTACTGTTCTATGGCTGTGAAGAGACACCCTGACCAAGGCAACTCTTATAAAAAGAAGCACTTAATTGGGGGCTTGCTTACAGTTTCAGAAGGTGAGTCCATTATCATCATTGTGGGAAGCAGACAGGCAAGACACTGGATCAGTAGCTGAGCACTTTACATCCTGATCCACAGGCAGCAGCAGAAAGAGTGACAAAAAGAGTCCCCCACACATAGACCTACATGCATATCCACAGCCAAATCATCAAAGAAACATACACTAAAATATACCCGGTGTAATATCTGTTCTGTCTCTTTAAGAGACAAGCCATGCCCACTCCCTCCCCCATCTGCTGAGGCAGGGTGATCTTCAGCTTCCAGCCTGAGTCTCTCTTTTTTCCATCTCCCTCTCAAAGAGGCAGCTTCTGCCTCTCCCCACTTTCCCCCTTCACTGCTTCTGTCTCTCTCTCTCTTCTCTCTCTCTCTCTCTCTCTCTCTCTCTGCCTCTCTGTTCTTCTCCCCTTCTCCCTTCCCTTCCATAACCATTAAATAAATATTCAACCTCACTCTGCATGGCCTTCCTATCCATCTGTCTCTCGTCTGCCACCACATGGCTTGCTGCCGGGGACCAGCCACCTTGGGAGACCTGCCACATGGTCTCATGTGCTGTCCCTGCCTGGGACTGGCTGCTCTCAGAGCCTGTGGCCGGCTGCCACTCGGGGACCTGCAGCGTTTCTGCCACTGCAGCTACTCGGGGATCTGCAGAATTTTTAATAATCCATTACACCAGGAAAGGTATTCTCTGCTGGGTGATCCTTCCTGCCTTTTACTAATTTACAGTTAGAATAAAATGATTTCAATCTACCCATTCTTTTCATGCTTCCTTTTTAAGAGTACAGTATGTATTTTGGGGGACAAGCTATTAAGAGAAAAAAAATCCAAAGGAACAAATACATTGGCATGGAACTTGAGCACCACTGATCAATAATTAGAGGTCTCTGGGAGGGGCACATGGGTACCTATATTTTCTAGATGGATAACCAAGGGAGGAAAAAAAGGAGGAAGTAAAGGAAGAAAAAGATACAAACACCCTAGGAGTAGTCTTCAAATAATTTCATTTGACCTTCTGTGGAGAAATGAAGACATAGCTATTGTTAAGAAAAAAATCTTAAAATGAGCCACTCCACCGGTGCAAAGAAATCCAATCAGACCAGATTAGCCAAATTAAAATGTTCATGTTTAATAAACGTTGCACTCTTGGGTAGCCAGGAGAGCACAGCAGGAGAGCACAGCAAGGGAGAGAGAGACAGAGTGGGGGATCCATGCAAACCCAAAAACCACATGTTCTTTTCAGTGCAAGCCTAAATAACCTGGGGGAATGGTCCTGACCCTCCCCGGGGAGGGGTCACTGCTTGGCAGGCTGGAAGTTGAAGTCCAAGCCAGGGCAGCTGCCAGGCCATTGACTTCCAATCATCCCAGACTTTTTGGATATAGGTGCTAGAGGGCTGGGGTGATGCCCCCAGCTTAATAGCTATGATGTGGGATTCCCCTCTGTATGCTGTGAATACGATTGGTTAATTAATAAAGAAAATTGCTTTGGCCTGTTGATAGGGCAGAACTTAGCGAGGCAGGGAAAATTAAACTGAATGCTGGGAGAAAGAAGGGCAGAGTCAGAGAGAAGCCATGTAGCCCTGCCAGAACTTTAGCCAATAAGCCACAGCCACATAGTGATACACAAACTAATAGAAATGGGTTAAATTAATATGTAAGAGTTAGCCAAGGGCTGGAGAGATAGCTCAGAGGTTAAGAGCACTGACTGCTTTTCTGAGTTCCTGAGTTCAATTCCTAGCAACCACATGGTGGCTCACAACCATCTGTAATGAGATCTGGTTCCCTCTTCTGGCATGCAGACATAATGTAGGCAGAACACTGTATACATAGCAATAAAATAAATCTTTAAAAACAAGCAAACAACAACAACAACAAAAAAGACTTAGCCAATAAAAGCTAAAGCTAATGGGCCAAACAATAATTTGAATAATATAGTTTCTGCGTGATTATTTCGGGGCTGAGCAGCCGGAAACAAACCAATGACCTCCTTACAACATAGCTAAAAGTGTCCTATTTTATTAAAAAGCAAAAATTAGGTGACTAAGCCAGACAGTGCTGGCATACACCTTTGATCCCAGCACTCAGGAGGCAAACTAACAGGTGGATCTCTGTTAGTTTGAGGCCAGCCTGGTCTACAGAGCAAGTTCCAGGGCAGCAAGGGCTACACAGAGCAACGCTATCTTGAAAAATAAAAACAAAACAAACAAAGAAAAAATTAGGTTGCTGAAAACAGTATAAATTTTCTCTCTCTTAATTCAGGAGGCTGAAGTTCAGAGGATAGGTCTTATGGGCTAAAGAAAATCAAATATTGATGTATGCATTCTCTCTCGAGGTTCTGGGGTAACATGTGTGCCTGCTCATTCCAGGTCTAGGGACCACGGGCACTTCCTCACTTGGTCCCCCTTCAGCAATGCACTGCTGCCACCTCTGCTTCTGCTGTCACTGTGCCTTCTCAGATTCTGACTCTTTGCCTCCTTGTCATAAGAACCCCCGTGACCCCGCTTTCCATGGGAGAGTGCCCCCCCACTCCTCTGCACTCCTTGCCAAGGGTGCTATGGGCCTAGGAGAGCTGGCTCTGCCCCTCGTCCTAGGGGGTGGCCCCAATAGCCCCAACCGACCAGCTCAGCTACCACTCAGACCTACATCTTGGGCCTTGGGTTGGCCCACTCTAACGTTTGCCCCATCTATGACCTACAGGAGTGCATGAAGGGACTGGTCCTGAGGAACAATAACCATAGGCTGGGATTACAGCAGGATATTCGAGAGGAATTTTGGTGAGGGTCCAGTGGTGATGGTGTGCCAAAGGACTTGAACCAGACCAATGACTCATTGCGATGAATCTTTCTCAGGTGGGGCTGACTGGACAAAAGGGTATACTGCGTGACACACTGAAGCTCTTGATGCTAGGATGAATAAGGAAGTGTTGGAAAGATGGAGGAGCAAGGCGATTATTTTTTTGATTGTTTTTCTGTTTTTAATTAATTTGGGGGGGCCATGCAGCAGGGATGAGGGGCAGATATGAAGGAACTGAGAAGTGAGCGGTATTGGGGTGCATAATATGAAATTCCCCAAGAATCAATAAAAAAATCATGCTAAAAGCAACAACAACAAAACTCGTGATTAGACTGTATCTACTAGATAACCCAGGTTCATCTCTCCTGCTTGCTGTCTTTAATTCAGTTGCATCCACAAGACTTCCTTTGGTGGGAAAAGGAAGACAGCTAAAAAAGTTCTATTTTTTAAAAAGCAAAAATTAGGTGACTAAGCCAGGAAGTGGTGGTGCACACCTTTTGCCGCATAATGAGCTGCTATACGCACAGGTTCTGAGCTATGGGGCTAGGTCATCACTCAACTCATCACTGTAAAAAAACAGGATGTTTAATTCTACTCCCCTCATGCGCATGATAAACAGAACCTCACCGAGTTTTTCAACAGTCCTGTGGAAGACACGCCAGATTCCTTCTGAAGTGGAAGATGCCCAGCCTTGGTGTAATTTGAGGTTCTGCCCCATGTGAGAGAGCTGGGATCAAACCCAGGTCCACAGCCTGGACCCGAGCCAAAGCCTGCCTGCTCACTGCCTTGCCTCCATTCTTCTTGCTATTCTGTCGCACTTCCTTTTTCCTGTCTAGCTCTGTTGCCCTGAACAACTTCAGCTGCTGTCTCCTAACCTGCCACGTGCTTCTGACGACAACGTGACTACAGCTTGGTCAGGAGATCGCTGTTTTCCTGCTTCAGCTTGCATGTTTGGGGCCTATTGTTCTAGGTGAAAAAGTAGAGGAAAGATAGATGTAAGTAAAAATTACAGGGCGATCTAAATGATACAAGCTGTTTGAGACAGGTGAATGGGGAAGTCAGACGGAGCAGGGAGTTCTAAATCCTAGAAACCAGGTGTCATTTTCTTTGTCCCTTGGTTTAAAAAAAATCTAAACTCCAAGAAAGAACCAAAGGCAATAAATCTGAGTTATTAATTTTTGCTTCCTTATGCCTTACAAGTACTTGTGCAACAGTTGGGGACTGGATAGAAAGGAGCTGATGGATTGGGGCAAGCAGTGTCTGCAACCAACAAGGGGTTAAGTTCTATTGCTTTCATTTTGTAGGTCTCTATCCTACCTAGCAACTGATGATACCAGATACCTTTCCCAGTTCTTATTGGAGAAGGCCTTTCAAATTGCTAATAACCAAATTTCCCCATGAACAGGTAGAGTACAGGTTCTCAAAAGATTCACCAGGGTCCTGTCACCGCTTGAGGTAAAAGAATCTGGAAAGAAAAGGACGTAAGTTGGGGTTAACGATGCTACTCTTCCCTCTTCTTACAGTACTCTGGGTGCAGCATAGCCATATCCATAAGTATCCCAAGCGCTCTTTACTACCAAATCCCGAGCTGACGCACAATGGCTAATTCCTAAACTTGTGCAAACTACAGAAAGGCCAGGGGCAAATCTGCAGGCCTACTACACCCAAGACTTGAAGGGAGATGGACCAGCTGACCTGTCGCCCAGTATGTGTGTGTGTTAGTGTGTATATATATGTGAGTGTGTGTGTGTAATGTGTGTGTGTGTTTGTGTGTGTGCAAGCCTTTCTAGAAAATTCTGTAACTTCCTCACTTTCCCTCTGGGAGCTGTCTCCTTACTTTTCTGCTATACCCTTGCTTTTCCCTTCCTCTTTTCTAACAGTGAATCTCGTCGGTCTGTGGGTGGAAGTTCCAGAGATGTTAAACAATCTAATGGGTCCATTATCCAGGTCAATAGATGGTTTTCCTTCTCCACTCCAAGGGTTACCTATAAGAGAAGATCCAAGAAAAACAAAGCAAATTCTGAGCTTGTTTACTGGGTGTAGAAAATACTCATTGATAGAAAGGAAGGAAGGAAGAAAGGAAGGAAGGAAGGAAGAAAGGAAGGAAGGAAGGAAGGGGAAGGGAAGGAAGGAAGGAAGGGGAAGGGAAGGAAAGGAAGGAAAGAAAGAAAAAAAAGAAAGAAGGGAGGAAGAGGGAGAGAGCGAGATTGGTAGTACTCACACAGCAGTCAGAGCACAGATCTCTCGTCTTCAGTCCAGGCCTTTGCTGTGATACCACTAGATTTATGAGTAGTTGGATAATCTGTGGGAAAATACAGGGGGGGGGGTCACTGTGTGCTTCACTGTTGCCTTTTGGCTGACTCCTTAGATGCCTTGCTGCTCTGTTGCTTACAGCGCCTGTCGTCTTTTTGCAGATTATTCTGGATTGGTTCTCATGGTAGGAGGCACCACAGAAGAGAGACCAGCGCACAGGAAAAGAGAGATGGGGTGTGCCTAGCTGGCCCCTTCCCGTCTTTCTGAGTCTCTGGTTGTAGTTATAGCTCTCTACAATGTCCATTGTTTTGTTTTCCTTTTTCTGAAAACTCCTCTTCTTTACAGATTTCTGGGTTTCAGTAACGCTTATTTGCTGTTCATTTCCCTTCGATCTTAGGGGTGAAAGTGTTTTTTTGTTGTTGTTGTTGTTTTTTATAGTTGCTTCATTACTGTCTCTCCATGGTACCTATCTGGTGAAGGCTGTTTCCTGCTGGTGACGCTCGCTAAATGAGCTTTGAGGACAATGACAGGGAAGGGATTTCGGGTTTATGGAAAATGGCTTAAGGTCTACTTAATATTTGCGCCCAGTGTTACCCATAAACAGATACTTTTACACCGTAGATGGATGGAGGATATGGGGAAGAGAAACCCGAATGCTCAAGACATAACTCCCGGAAGTGTTAAGATAATTCCCATATTACTCCCAGCATGTCGCTTCTTAAGCTGCGTAGCCCACCAGTGACTGCCCCTGCTCCTTCCTTTCATAGCTCCTGTTCACCATTCTCTAACTCTCTTTCCCCAGAATCTTCCCCGAGCTGCTCCCCTGAAAGGCAGGAAGAGGCAGCTCCATTTTCCCTTTGTTTCTGTGACTCTATCTATTCCCAGCAGGCACTGAAATGCTTCCTGAAAGGCCTCATGTTTCAAAGTAACGTTCCTAAAGCACTGAACCCACCTGCTGGAGTTACAGTGAGCTTGGACAGTGATAATGAGTTTGAAACTGATCTACCATAGTCGCAGAATTTATGTAAAAATGGGTGTTTTGTGCTTTTCCAGGTTTTCTTGCCCTTCATTTCAGCGGGTGTGAATCTGAGCTGATGAGGTGTGCCACTGTAATCACACTGGGGGCATCAGGCATGAGAAGGCCGCTGCCTAACCATATGTAGTATGTGTGTTTCATCTTGATATAATCACAGTTAGTCTCTTTTTGTTGTTGTTGTTGGTGGTGGTGGTGTTTTTCGTTTTTCGAGACAGGGTTTCTCTGTGTGTCTCTGGCTGTCCTGGAACTCACTCTGTAGACCAGGCTGGCCTCAGACTCACAGAGATTCGTCTGACTCTGCCTCCTGAGTGCTGGGATTAAATGTGTGTGCCACCACCAGCCGGCACAGTTAGTCTCTTGATGTTATTAATAATTTAATAGGTGTGTTAGCTCATTCCCTCAATCTACTTTATGAGCAATGCTTCAGAGACTGGGACGGATCACAGACAACAGTAGTGCTACGGTTAGAAGACAACATTTATAGACTATCTGTTCAGAAATCTTGAGTTCAAAGAAGTAACATGAGAAAATATGGACATTTGCTAAAAACTTCATTAGACTTCAGACTGCTTCCATGGAGCTCTTGCCCAGGTCCACGCAGAAGAAATTTCTCCAAGGTAGTATTTCACTTCCTTAAGGTTCTCTTCTTCATAGGTGACACTGAATATATCTAAATCTGAAAAACTCAACTGATTTATAGATTTTTATTTTAACTAGGCAGAACAGCTGTCTATTCTTGCTTGACCACAACCCTCTCACCCGAGAGGACTGCTGAAGATTGGAGGGAAAAGGTCTAGATTAAAGATCAAATATATATAAATCTTTAAATGCTTTGATTTTATGAAGTTTAATTTGAGACAGATGACAAAAGGTGTTATTTCTAACATCTAAGTTTATATTAGAGAAAAATATTTTTTAAAGACAATACTTTTTTAAGAGTATATGTATCAAATCACATTTTATTACAATTTCAATGAATCATTTTAAAGAATAAGATTTGCCAGGTGCATACCTTTAATCCCAGTACTCAGGAGGCAGATCTCTGTGAGTTCAAGGCCAGCCTGGTTTCCAGAGCAAGTTCCAGGACAGCCAGGGCTATACAGAGAGGCCCTGTCTCAAAAAAACATTAATAACCCAGGCAGTAGTGGCATAAGTCTTTAATTCCAATAATTCTGAGACAGAGGCAGGCGGATCTCTGGTTCAAGGCCACCCTGATTTACAGAGTTCCAGGACAGTCAAGGCTATACAGAAAAATCAAATAAATAAATAGTAAAAAGAAAAACCAACAATAATGATATTGAGATTCTTCTGGGAAATACAAGACGTGTGGTCATTATTGTACCAGGGTGTATGAAAGGGGAGAAAAAGCCTTTCAGTTCACTCATTCATTCATTCTGCGAAGCATGACAGTGGTCTCTGCAGTGCGATTCTAATTGATCTTAATAATAAAAACCCAGAGTCAGATATCGGGGGTGAAAGCTGAAAGATCAGAGAAGTCGAACAGCCTGCCAGTTCTTTTATTTTTAAAGTTATAAAATGATTGGCTCATTAGCTCAGGCTTCTTATTAACTCTTATAATTTATATTAATCCATTATTCTTATCTATGTTAGCCACATGGCTCAGTACCTTTTTCAGCAGGACAGGTCACATCTTCCTTCTCCTGTGTCTGGGCAGGACTGGAGGAAGAGCTTCCTTCTTCCCAGAATTCTCCTGTTCTCATTGCCCCACCTCTACTTCCTCTCTGGTTGTTTTGCTTATACTTCCTTCCTGCCTGCCAGTTCTTAACTCTATGAAATCCTCAGACCGAATGGGGTATCCTGTCTCTACAAGTCCTCAGATTGAGTGCCTTCTCTATAAAACCTCAGATTGAATCCTGAGCTCCTGTCTCCTCCCACTTTATATTCCTCTCTCTACCCGATCATAACACTTCCTGACTCTACCTCCCTGGGACTAAAGGCTTGGCTCTGTTTTTCTTTTAGACTGATTCAATTTCATGTAGCCCAGGGGTAACCCTGAATTCACAGAGATCTATCTGCCTCTGTATCCCGAGCACTGGGATTAAAGGTATGTGCTATCACTGCCTGGCCTCTATGTCTAACTACTGTGGCTAGCTTTGCACTCTGATCTTCAGGCAAGCTTTATATGTTAAAGCACAAACAAAATACCACCACATTGCTGTTCCTCCAATATGTAAAGCATGCACCCTCAAGGATTTGGGCTTAGCTGTCTGGAAAGGTCTTTGCCAATGGACTCCTCCTTCACTAAATGCTTAACTCTGGTCAATATTATCTGATCATAGAAGCCTTTTCTGATCCCTTTAACATATTGGCCCTCTCCACACCATCTCCTTTCTCTACTTTAGTTCTCTTTATACAATTTATTACCACTTGGCCTCATATTATATATTTGTTGATTGGGAATATTCCTTCTAGTAATTATCTCAGAGGACTGCGACTTTGATATATTCATTATTGTACCCCTAGGACCTAGGACTATGTTTACCAGAAATTCAGAAAAGAATAATACATGAAACAAGATCTTGGTAACCTTTGAAGGAGTAGTGTACTGGCTGGTTTTGTGTATCAACTTGACACAAGCTGGAGTCATCAGAGAGGAAGGGGCCTCAGCAGAGGAAGTGCCTTGATGAGATCCTGCTGTGGTGGGTGGCACCATTGCAGGGCAGGTGGTCCTGGGTTCTCTGGGTTCTATTAGAAGGTGAACTGAGCAAGCCGTGGAGAGCAAGCCAGGAAGCAGCACTCCTCCATGGCCTCTGCATTAGCTGCCTCCTGAGCTCCTATCCTGCCTTCCTTCAGTGTGAGCAGCAGTGCTGACATGTAAGTCAAATAAACTCTTTCCTCCCCAATTTGCTTTTAGGTCATGGTATTTCATTGAAGCAGTAAAAAACCCTACCTACAGAGTAGCTGTTATGGTTTCCATGGGTGTTCCTCACAGGCTTATGTGTTTGAACACTTGCTTTCAAGATGGCGGCGCTGTTAGGATATTGTGGGGCTATAGGATATGTGACTTAGTTTGCAGGCTTAAGGCTATGGGGGCAAAGGTTGAGTTATTGGTTGGCCCTGCTTCTATCCTAAGCCCAATATTTCCTGACTGTGTAATGTGAGGATCGTGTTCTGCAAGGTCCTCCCTCCCTAACCAAGTTAAACCCAGCTTCCATGCCTCCTCCGTTTAATGTACTCTGTCCCCTTTACCCGTTATACAAATAAATCCTTCCTGCTATAAGCTGTCTCTGTCAAATCAAGTATCATGTCACAGCAACGAGAAAAGTAATGCACACAGAATATGGGCTTCAGAGGTGGGGTCATTGTAATGGGAAACCTGGCTGTGCAGTTTGCAGGACTTTGGGAGTGATGTGGAAAAGCAATACGAAAAGGTTTGGAGCTGTAGGCAAGCACAGACTTAGAATGCTGTAAAGAGAGCCTCGTGGGACATTCTGGCAGGAGTGTGGAAGACCAGATGTTGAGATGAAGGAATAGTCCCTCATCTGAGAGACAAAGAATATTTGCTCATGAGTTTCAAATGGCAGCAAAGATTTTTTTTCTTTCAGAAATTGAACTAGAGGATATTTGTGTTATATTCTGACAAAGAATCTATGTTCTTCCTGTGTCCTGAGAGTCAAAATGAGGCTGAATTAAAAAGTAATATACCAATTTGTTTGGTGAAGAAAATTGCTAGCCAGAGCAGCATGCAGACAATAGCAGTTACTGTCCCATGCTTTTAGCCACAGGACAGTGATAGACAGCAGAAACTAGGAAAGAAATGTTTCAAAAGTGTGTGGTTTGATAAGGAAAGGAACATACGTTCAGTCGTTGTCAAAGCAACTGCAGAAAGAGCTGGGATAATTAATAAAGATATTAGTACAATTAAAGGAAAAGCTCGCATTCTGTATGAGGCCATTAGAAATGGTAAGATTTCTTGAAGGCAAGATCTCACTCATCAAAGACTCCACCTAACCCACCCAAATAGGACCACTTAGGAGAGTGTTTTCTCAGGGTCAGCTATGCAGGTGCTCAGAAGCCCCCAGAGCTATGTTGAAAGGCAGGCATCTCAAGCTGGCGGCAGAACTTGGCAGAGCAGCCACATGGTGCTGGCTTTGCAAGCATGCACAATACACCAGTTATCAGGTTAAAAAGGCTTGTACCGAGGTCTAGAAAACCACTGAGGTAAGGCGTTGTGTAGAAGGGTAGGATTCCTACATGGAGTTCCCGAGTGGACTCTGCATGGACAGTGAGGGTGAAGCCTAGGATGCAATGAAGATCCCAAGATGCTGAAGGACTGCCCACAGTCCTACATCTGCTGAAGAACACTGTAAGCACTCTGGGCAAGGCAGCCTGCCGGGAGCAGAGCTGTAGAGGTTGGACTCCCCAAACCCACTGGAACACAAACGACATTGCCACATCCCTGAGGTACTAGACACGGAGCTGAAAACTACTTCTGTCCCTTCCCACAATGCCTGAAACCCCAAGGCTAGCTACCGGGAATCACAACCGTATTTGCCTTATAAGGCATTGGGTTGCTTGGACCACACAACAGATGACCTTTGTTGACTTGGCTAAATCTACTAGCTAGCCTTGCTTTGGTCCTATTTTCCCCGGCTATACTTTTGTTCCTCCCCTTCGGAAGGGCCATGTTTACTCTGTGCCAGTATATTTTGAAAGTATATTTGATTTTTGTTTTGCAGATGTTCACAGTTAAAAGACTGTCTGATCTTGGGAAAATCTTTTTGGACTTTGGATTTTTCTTAAAAGATGTTTTTATTTGCATTTCTGGATTTCTCTTAAAAGATGTATTTATTTGCATTCTATAAGTGAATGTTTGTCTTCATGTATGTATATGTATCAAATGTGTGCTGTGCTCATGTGAGGCCAGAAAGGGGCATCGAATCTCCTGGAACTACAATTACAGTTTTGAGCTGTCTGTGACACTGGGGACCAAACTTGGATCCTCAGGAAGAGCAGCAAGTGCTCTTAACCACTGAACCATCTCTCCAGCCCCAAGATTTTGGACTTTTTGATCAATGTTGGAACTCTTAGGACTTCGGGGGCTTTCGCAGTAGTAAAATGCATCTTACATTATGAAATGCCATGAGCCTCTGGGGCCAGGGTGGAATGCTGTAGTTTGAATGTGAAATGTACTTCCAGACTTGTATATTTAAGAACTAGGTGCTCAGTTGATGGCATCTCTCAAGAGGCTGTGCAGCACTTTGGACACGGAGCCTAGATAACAGATGTAGGGCCTCATGGTTAGGACTTAAGGGTTATAGTCCACCACACTTCTAGCCTGAGCCCTCTGCTTCCAGACCCTTTCAGAGGTGAGGGAACTATACCATAAAATCTGACAAATCCAGACCGGAGTGAGCCCAGCCACCTTGCCTTCCTGACTGTACCCCTTTATACCATGAGCCAAAATAAGTCCTTTTCCCCTTATGTTTCTATCACTTATTTTTCCAGAAGGACAAGACAAGTAATTAAGATTGTGGCTAAGAAGCCAGACTGTCATATTTATCATTTTTAGACTCATCATAAGATCCTGTCATGTGACAGTTGCTAGGACAGAGGACTATTGGTTCCCGCTAAATGTAGAGCCATCAACATTGCTACATGCTTTGAGAAGAGTCCAAAGGCTGTTTTAACTAAAAACACAACCATCTTCTTCTCTCCTCGCTCCCACAAAACCCGGAATCCCAAAGAGTAATTATCAGGAATCATCTTTTCCTTACTAAGGCATTAGGTTTCTTGAACAGGCAACAATAAAACAGTCTTTGTTGACTTGATTATCCCACCAGAGGAAGATGTGGCATGTGGGCCTTAGGGACTGGAAAAATCAGAGCCTGAAACATGTTTGACACAAGGGGGCAGGAGAGAGCACTGATACTCTAGGGTCTAGAAGGCTGTAACATCTTGTACTGGGGAAGCGCCTCTCTCTTAAGCAGAGTTGGGTAGTCATAGGTAGAGAAGCTCCCTATATGAGATCAGATTTTGATTCCTGGTTCTTTCATCATAGTTTCTAAGGCTGTCCTTACTTAGTTTAGGTAATTTTGAGCAATGTACTTGATCTCTTTGCACTTTTCATCTGTGAAATGGGAATTATGGGACCTACCTTGAAGGGTTTATTGGGAGGGCTGGATAGGTAGCCCCGTAGATAGATATCCCATAAATGCAACTCTCTGTGAATGAATGCCTGAAAACAAATGTTCAATTGCTTTGTAATCCTGTAACTTTCCTTAGAGATTTGTCAAAATGGCCCGACTACAACTCTACCAAGTTAAAGGGACAAAACTCAGGACGGTAAAGTAGCCAGCATGTTGGTGTGAGAGCTGCTTGCACATTTGGATGGGATCTCCAGCAATGCCTAGCAGAAGCAAGCAAGCAGCAAATGCCCCTTGAGAAACAGTTTGACTGGCCCAACTAGACAAGGGGCCAAATTCTAGATCATAGATTTCAGCTCAAGTGACTAATGGTGATGATTCATGGAAAGGGAAGAACCAAACCTGATTTCATAATTACTGGAGCAAAGAAGGGGTCAGAGCAAATGGTGCGGAATTGACATTTGTGCAGAACAACGTTAGTCTTTCCAAATGACTCGACCTTAATAGTATATCTTTGATCATCTGAGCGACATATTCTGGTAAGATGGAAATTGTCACAGGCCTGACATGCTATGAAGGAGAGCATAACATGGACTTTTCCTCATTTTCCCTGTTCTGAATTACTAATTTCACATCTGGTGCGGGAGAATTATCTGTATTCTGTCAATCATGTATTTTAATAAAACGCTGATTGGCCAGGCAGAAAGTATAGGCGGTCAATCAGACAGGAAGTAGAGGCGGGGCAATGAGAATAGGATAAGGCTAGGGAGGAGAAAGCTCCCTCAGTCACTCCTGTGCAGACCACCGAAGAGACAGCATGTAACTTGCCCAGCTGAGAAACGTACGGAGCCATGGGCTAACGTAGATAAGGATAATGGGGTAACAAAAGTTGTAAGAACTAATAAGTAGCCTGACCTAGTGGGCCAATCAGTTTATAACCTTATGGAGTCCTGTGATTGATTTTCGTTGGGAGTTGCCAGTTGTGGGGTACCGGGCGGGACAGAAACCCCAACAGGCCGGTCCCCTCATGCTCCACACATCTGTCAGCCGACATTCCTATATAGTGAAGTGTCATTTTAGAAGTCCAGCTAGGGGCCAGGCATGACTTGTACCTGTAGAGGTACCAGCGGGATCCCAGGGAGAATGAGAAGATGGTTGTGGCGTCCTTGGCCAGCATGCATGCTCTGCCAACTCCCACTACCCTCTCTCCCCCTGGCCTATTGTTAACCTCTTGTTAACCCTGAAATCTCTTCCAAGATGTCGCTTTCCCTGTCAAAACGTCCCCGAGAGCCCACATTGACATGATAGCCCCTATGGTGTTACTTTGAAACCATCTTGCTTGTCTCCACCATGCCCTGAACTTCTTGGACAACCTGAGGTGTTCAGGGTGGGTGGGGAGGATTGTTTCATTTTGATTTACTTTTAATTCTTAGTGATAATCACAATTTTCATGTTGGTATTTAAACAGAAGAAAAAGTTGAAAAATAATAAGAAAGGCGATAAGAGGAGAGGTTCAGTAAGGCAAGAAAAAGCGCTGTGCTTTCTAAAGTGTTTTCCCCAGGAGGCCTGACTCCTAAGAGCTGTTCCAGCTCTGTCTAATCCGGGAGGAGGGGTGCACATCCCTGTGTGTGCAGAGATAAGGGAGTAGGTTGAGAGTCCTCAGTTATCAACCCAGAGGCTTTATTGGTAGTGCAAGTGAGTTGGGTTGCCAGAGTCGTCTCTCCCTCAGAGGTTCTGAAGGTTTCTTCAGGCATTACCCACTTAGCCCCAGTCCAGCGAAAGGTCTTTAGTTCTTCACCCAAGACCAGAGCATCACACTGTATACACAACTTGCTTACAAGTTGAGATTACCTGTAAAATTTCATCCTTGGTCACAGGGCTGAAGTCTTTTCCAGGTCGTAATTCCTAGGGATTCAATAATGGTGTTGGATAAAACAGTGGGATGGATGCATTGAGTATGGGGAGAGGATGCTTGTATGGGGTGTCAGTGGAATGTAGTTAATATATTCTGTTGTCTGTGACTCTCACACTTCTTTGCTTCCTCATCAGGGACTCATTCCCTGAGATATTTTCATCTGGCTGTTTCGCATCCTGGCCCTGGAGTCCCTGAATTTATCTCTGTTGGGTATGTGGACTCACACCCTATCACTACATACGACAGTGTCACCCGGCAGAAGGAGCCAAGGGCTCCATGGATGGCAGAGAACCTGGCACCTGATCACTGGGAGAGGTACACTCAGCTGCTGAGGAGCTGGCAGCAGACGTTCAAGGAGGAGCTGAGGAGCCTACAGAGGCACTACAACCACTCAGGTATGATGGCAACAGACAAGCACCCTCTCTCACTGACTGCTTCCCAGGAGAAAGGCCCCAGGCTGCCTCAGGTCAATGTGGCACACATTGCTCACACCCTCTGTAGTCTTTGGCAAAACCCAGAAAATCAGGTGGCTGGGTTTCAGTGACCACCATCTCCCTGTGGCTCTTCCACACTATCCTTCTATGAAAATCCTTTAGCCCTTGTCCCCATATTCCTATCCCACTGGCATCCCACAATTTTCTCTCTTATCATTCTAAATTTTCCCATCTTGGGTCTTATTTTCTGATGGTTGGGCTTCCTGATTTGCTTATTTCTGCACAGAAACGTACTATATGAATTGTCCCAGAGATATTTCTGGCTCCTGCATATCTCTTGCTCCTACACTGCACTCAGAATAGCTGGGGAATTTATCAATGAATCATTCCAAAGATAGGCTAATTCCCCAAGGCAGGCGTCATCGTGACCCTTTGGCATGCAGTAAGTACCCCATTAATGTCTATTAGTATGTGGGTCTGCAAAACAGGAACATTCTGGAACCCAAATACACAGGCCTGTGTGGTGGCATCTTCCAGAGCAAAGAGTGCTTCCAATCATGCTCCAGTTGCACCATCTGAGCAGCCTCCCCCACCCCCATCTCTGCTTTCACCTGTGATTCCACAGCTTGTGTGTATTTCAGGACTTCACACTCACCAGAGAATGATTGGCTGTGAGTTGCTGAAAGATGGCAGCACCACAGGGTTTCTCCAGTATGCAGATGACGGACAAGATTTCATCGTCTTCAATAAAGACACCCTCTCCTGAGTGGCTGTAGGTAATGTAGCTCAAATCACCAAACGGTCATGGGAGGCCAGCCTGCATGAGTTGCAATACCAAAAGGACTGGCTGGAAAAGGAACGCATTCCCTGGCTCAAGAGGTTCTCGGAGTATGGAAAAGATACCCTAGAAAGGACAGGTAAAGAGAAGAGAGAACCTCGCTCTCACATCCCTAGAAAAACTGGCTTTGTGTCTAACTTCCTCTTCTGCAGGTGCTGTTCACCCTGTGCTGAAATCCATCTCTTGGCTGGACTGTTCTGACCTATAAACCCCTAAGAGAATTCTCATTAGTTGGTATTTTTAGCAGCGTCTTGACAAGCCTTAGCAGTTCCGCTTGTCTTGACAGAATGTAGTGCCTCCAAGGGCACCTCTACCAAAAAAAGTCCTCCGTCTCCTGCCAGGGAGAAGTTGGGAAAACTTTTGGGAGTGGGACAGTTGTTACAAATTATTTAAGAAGCAGGGTTCACTGGGGTGAGAATGAAAAGATGGCTTGTGAGGAAGGGCTTAGGAAGACTGGCTTTTTCTTACCGGGAGATTAACAGGACGATTCTTCTGGGTACACAGCTCGTCTCTTGTCATAAATACTCAAGCCTTTTGGTCAACTTCAACAGAACGCAGAATGTTTCGTGTTCAATGGGATGATTCAAATGTTTCAGGAAATCCCTGAACACTGTTGACCTTGTCTAGCCGGAGGGACTTTGCAGAGCTGGGACAAGCCCGGGGTGTAGAGGAGGGGTCTGGACCACAGTTGTAACCGTGTGCTGTGTGTCTAAACGCAGGCTTTGGAGACAAATGATTCGAGCCTCATGGTGGCTTTCCTCCCGACTTGTAGAATAACTATCCAAGCTATGCTCAATGGTTGCAGTTAACAAACCCACTTCTGACAGACTCGAGCAGATCCTATTAGAAAACAGGAATCAGAATAGCATGGAGACTTAAGAGACCAAAACCATATTTGAAAGTTTTTCTCCACAGGAGGGGTGGGAGCAGGGGCTGAAGGCACCAGCACAAATGTCACATCGTCATGGCTTCTCCATTCTGCAAAACAGACTACTGTCTCTGAGTACTTGTTACCTAAATAAATAAATCTCAAGAGAACTGTGACTGGCCTGAGTTGGATCATTTGTGACCTCTTTACCTAATCACTGTGACCATCAGAAAAAGCTTCAAAGATTTGCACTGGGCAACAAAGTTCTGGCAGTGACTAATGAATGGCACAGTCAATATGGCCTAATTGAGGAGATTCAACCAGGGATCCTTCACAAGGGGTCTAGTGGGGATCCCAGCAAGGGGTGGTGAAGATTCTGGAGAGGTACAGTATGGGAACACCATTGCCCCAGTACGATCTGAAGGCAGAAAGAGGAGACATCGCTAGCAGAGCCCAGCAGGAGTTGGTGTGTGGAAAGGGGATCCTTACGGTCAGAGGTGTGGCCATGGGCAGGACTGCAGCAGGGTAAGATCAGTACTTCCTCAGCTGCTGCTCTCTGCCTGAGGCAGTCCTGCTGGAAACTAGGGGCAGAACAGTTCCAGAGAGAGTGTGAAGGCCTAGGCAGACCACAGAGGGTCAGAGGGGACATCCGGGGGCCGCAAAGAGACCTGGCTGGTGCACACTGAGTAATGGTTGAAGAGGAGGAATTAAGATGAACGTTTCGTCGGAGCCCATGTTGTAGAGAGGTGCAGTTATGTCCCAAACCGTGCTGTTATTTGGCAGGAGGAGTCTCTCCTGTCAGGAACAAGTGAAGTTTCTAGAAGGTAGGCCAGCAAAGTCACAGTTTTGAGTAAAATAGGGTAATAGTGCCCACTTTAAAGAAATTAGTGAGAATAATATGGATGAAAACACATGCTAAGCTTTTGAGCTCTGCTCACATATTAAATATCACTGTCGCCTGACTGAAAATGTCTCATAGCCTAGATCTGGTTCAAATCTATGGCCAGTCTTGGCCACCCTTAACCACTAAGATGTTTTAGGCTGAGTCCCTTCAGATAGGAAAAGGGGAAATAGTTTACTTTCCGATGTGGGGGTGTCTGCGACATAGCTGCGTCAGTTTTTCCCGTCACTGGAGCAGAATGCTTGGAACAAAGAACTTAAAGGTAGGAAAGATTTTTTTAAAACTTTATTTAACTTTATTTCATGTGCATTGATATAATGATGTCAGATTCTCCGGAACTGGAGTTACAGACAGCTGTGAGCTGCCATATGGGTGCTGGGAATTGAACCTGAGTCCTCTGGAGGAGCAGTCAGTGCTCTTAACCACTGAGCCATCTCACCAGCCCCAGGAAAGATTTTTTTTTTTTAAAAAAAAAAAAGTAGGAAAGATTGTTCACAATTTCAGAGGTTTGAGTCCATCCTGATGGGAAGGGTGTGGCAAGGCAGCTTACGTCAGAGTGGACAGGAAGCAGAAGGAGGGAGAAGAGCCAAGGCAAGATAGAGCTGCAGTGCGAATTCTAAGTGGTCTTAATACTAAAAACCAGGAGTCAGATATGGGGGAGTGAAAGCTGAACGATCAGAGAAGCAGAGCAACCAGCCAATCCTCAGACCGAACGGAGTATCTTATCTCCTCAGACTGAACGCTCAGAGCTCCTGTCTCCTCCCGCCTTATATTCCTCTCTCTGCCCAGACTCCTGTCTCCACCTCCCTAGTGCTGGGATCACCTTTGTGTGAGCTCTGTTTCTCTTTTAGACTGGTTCAATCTTGTATAGCCCAAATGGCCTTGAACTCACAGTGTCTTGCCTCCTGAGTGCTGCAATTAAAGGTGTGTGCCACCACTGCCTGGCCTCTATGGCTAACTAGTGTGGCTAGCCCCGCACTCTGATCTTCGGGCAAGCTTTATTTGTTCCAGCACAAAATATCACCATGTACAGCCTCAGGGATTCCCCCACAGGGACCTACTTCCTTTAGCTAGACCCCGCCTCTTAGTGTTTCCAGAATCTGGCAAGATAACACCAACATCTAGAAAGCATGGATTTAACACATGAGCCTGTGAGGGACATTTTATGTTCAAAGCACACCAGTAGCTTTTGTCCCAAGTTTCCTGGTCTGCTGCTTGTCCTTGCATCCCTGGGCAAAAAGAAGGAAAACAAAGAGTTGCTAAGAATTGAGGTTTAGAGGTCACTAGCTAATTTTGTTGGTTCTGCTTGGTTCAAAACCTCTGGATCAACTAAGAGGAACCTGGGTTGTGTGGGAAGAATGTGGAAAGTTTGACTTAAGTGTATGTGGTTCCCATGCCCTAACTCGAGTCACAGAGGTATCTCAGCCTTTGGTAAGAACCCAGTCTTGGGAGGTAGATTCATTTCTTGCAAGCATAGTAAAATAAATAAACAAGCAAATAAAATTAATTAATTAAATTCTCTTGGCAGTATTTTATTTTGTATGTTGGAAAGTCTTTTCCTACTACTAAACCCCATGCCTCAGGTAGGTCTGAGAGGAAGACTCAATGTCAGGTAATAAGGCGGAGAGGAGGAGGCAAGTCTCACAGATGGGCGGAAAGGTCCTCCGGACAGCGTGCTTGGTTTTGATATGGCTCCATGACCAGGTCGAGCTGGAAATGTTAAGATAACACCATATGGAAAATGAATGAATGAAGTCATGAGGAAGCAAGCTCACCAGTGGATAACCCTGGGCTGGTACACACCTGTAATCCTAACATTCGGAAAGTTGAGGTAGGAAGATTATGAGTTCAGTCATCTTTGGGCATAGAGTTGATGTCCCCTCCCTCTCTCCCTCTCTTGCCATCGTGAGAGCCCTTCTGTGATATTAATTTCTGTAGCTTCTCTGAGGGCACCTGAACTATGACATGTATCGAATTGAGCCTTTCAGAGTAACAATCTGATAGCACGGTGCAGTTCAGAGCCCCATGGACCTGTGTTAGCTGTGTGTTTTTATTGTCACCAAGCACAGAATTGGGATCTGTGAGGTTCTACTCTCCAATCTCTTGGTGAATCACTTATCAAGACAATCATTTACACATGTTGTGACTTACTTCTTGTTACACAGGGTATTTCAATGCTGCACAGTTGACAACTCCAATACTCTCTTCAAACACTTGGTGCTATGTGCCTTTCCTCCCCTCAGGGACAAAATGAGGTTCACCTCCATGTGTTCCCTAGCCTATTCCATAGAAGGAAGTCTACAAAATACACATTTGCTGTTGATGAATCTGGGTTCTGGTTCATTCTGTTTGAGATAGTTCTTGCTGCAAAGAAAATTAATGGGAGAACGTGGCTTTGTTTGAATACTGTATGTTCCATACTCTTATCCTCCCACCCCATCTCACTTTCCTGTGGCTGCTTCTCTCTAGAACCTCCAGTGGTAAGAACAAGTCGAAAGGAAATGTTTCCGGGGATTACAACTCTCTTCTGCAAAGCTCATGGCTTCTACCCACCAGAAATTTTCATGACGTGAATGAAAAATGGGGAAGAAATTGCCCAAGAAGTGGATCACGGAGGCGTGCTTCCCAGTGGGGATGGAACCTATCAAACGTGGGTGTCGGTTGATCTGGATCCTCAGAGCAAAGATGTTTATTCTTGTCATGTGGAGCACTGGGGCCGCCAAATGGTTTTTGAGGCTCCTCGGGGTAAGTATGGGGGCGATGGCTGTCTGGGGAGTGAGCCTGAGGAAAGAGATTGAAGCTGTAACGCATGCCAGGAAGGGAGAATGGGTCACCGCCTCACCAGGTGGGCGCAATAATCTCTCTCTCTTTCTCTTTCTCTCTCTCTCAGCAGAGGCAGGTGAGTCTCTGAGTTCGAGGCCAGGCTGGTCTATAGAGAGAGTTCCAGGGCAGTCAGGACTACACGTAGAAACCCTGACTTGGGACTAAATAAGTAAATAAATAGAAGATAGCATAGGCACATAGCCCGCTCATCACCAGATGATGAGGGAGAAGAGAAGATGGCGGAGCTTCCTGGTGATCACAGTGATGCAGTTAATGCGGATGGGAAAAGCAACTTGGAAGGTTTTCTCATTTGCTTACAGAACCAGAAAGCATTCTTCTAGTAGTGAGCACAGTCTCTGGGACCATAATCCTCACCATTGTCCTGGAGAAAAGGTCTCAAGGTGAGTGGCGTGAAGGGCTCTAGGGGGCTGCATGCGGTCCCCTTGCTGCAGCTTCCAAGATTTTGTCTACTGTGTCTGCCACATCGGTTCCATTTAGAAACTGGTCGACCCTCACGTTGGGATCACCGGAGGGCCTGGGACAATTTCCCCCTCTATGGAGAAAATATCTGTTAATTGTCCCACTTTTCACAACCATTCTTCTATCTGAATGATAAGAAAGTCCTTCTCCTTCAAAATTCACTTCTCAGACGTGAAATGTTTACAAGTAGATGCCTTTGGAAAATAGGGCTTGAGATAAGGAACGGGGAAAGAGAAGCAGGAGACAAGCTTTTGATGGTACAGACGACAAACCCATTCCTTACATGCGCACTAAATGTCTGGTGTGCTTTAAGCTCCAATCTGTCTGGTGGGGGAAAAGCAAAATGGGAAAGACAGAATGACCCCATGTCACAGAGCTGATGGCATAGTCTTGAAAGGTCATTTTCTATGTCTGATTTACTAGTTACTCAAGCTGATCACAGCAAATATCAGTGGAACCTGGAGAAGGCTCAGAAGCCGGGTGGGCAGGAGCTTGCCTTTTCTTGACAGCTGTGGACTTGAGCCCAATCCAAGGGATACTGTACATGTGTGGTACTAGGTACTCATAGGACCAATCCATTTGTTGTTGGTTCGTTCTTACTCTTTGTTCTTTTGGCCATTTGGGGGCCCACCACCCAATTCTCAAATAAATCACACACAGAGACTTATTTTTTCCTATGAATGCCCGGCCTTAGTTTGGCTTGTTTTTCTTAACTTATCCAGTCTACCTTTTGCCTCTGGGCTTTTACCTTTCTCTATTTCTGTATTTCTTTCTTTACTTCTTTCTCCATGACTTGCTGTGTAGCTAGGAGGCTAGCCCCTGGATCTTCCTCTCCTCTTTTTCATTTCTTGATCTTTTCCTCCCAAATTTCTTCTTCTATTTATTCTCTCTGCCTGTCAGCCTGGCCTACCCTTTCTCCTGCCTAATTATTGGCTGTTCAGCTCTTTATTAGACCAAACAGGTCTTTTAGACAGACAAAGTAACAGAGCTTCACAGAATTGAACAAATACAACGTAAAGAATGCAACACATCTTTGCATCATTAAACAAATGTTCCACAGCATGAACAAATGTAACACACCTTAAAATAATATTCTACAATATCTATTTGCTAGAAAACCAACTAAGATAGCTGGTGGATGAGTAATGTTTCATTATAAATAGAGTACAATCTGAATCCTAAACCAATTAATAGATTCATCTCAAGAAGAAAGCTCCTGCTTTTTTTATCTTCTGGAGTTTGTAAATTTTGAGTTAAAATTTGTCAAGTTCTAAGAGAATCTTGAGAAAGGCTAAAACTGTCAGTGGTTGCTTCTAGGTTTTGCAGAATATTGTGTAAGTTTTGAGCTGTGAGGAAAAACACATGTAACTGATTAAAAATCTGTCTTCCTTTCAGAGCAAAAAGAAGCAGTCTACCATCCCACACCAGTCAATGAGTGCAGTTCTCCCTCCGAGGAGCCAGGATCTCTGCTCTCAGGCCCCAACACGTCTGTTGTCGGAAGCCTCGGCCATACTCCTGGCACAACGGGGGATTTAGAGAATTGAGCGTTCGTGACAACAAGACAGGAGCCACCAATTTTTCTTTGTTCTTTGGGTCCTGAAGAGCTGTCAACTTTCAGGCTCTGTGGGGACTGACTCCTTCATCGCCATCGACTTTGAATACACTCGGTCTCACGATCCAGTACTTCCCAACATCCTGTTTCTCCATGATGATTTACAAGTAGATTACAGAGTCTCAGAGATGCAAGGAACTTCCTCACTGTAGCAGGAGATGTCTTCCTATAATGCCACAGACTTGAGCATCCAGCCTCCCCTTGACACCATGTGTGGATTCCCCCATTCCACCACAAAACAGCCTTTCTTGTTCATCTTCTCTCATGAGAATGTTTACCATGTAAGAACCTTGACTATCATGGCTTTGACTGTGAATCTCTAAGTAAGGTTGGACCAACCCATGAGAACAACTGGCAAGTTTCTAAACAGCCTGAGAATGGACTAGTCATTAAACACCTATCATGTCCCAAAAGGAAACAGAAGCATTGTCCATGTTCAAGGCGGCTCTGCCAGAGAGCTTGGAATATTGGAAATGTGTCTAGCTAGAGCTATGGCAAAGATTTCACTTTTTATTGCTTCTGTGAGAAATTAGAACAATAATTTATAAAGCTGAATGTGATGGGACTCTTATAAGCCCAGTTCTAGGAAGCTGAGGCAGATGGATTTTAAGTCTGGTCTAGCTTAAGCTACACAGTGAAACTCTATCTTAAACAAACAAAAACAGAAGCAAAAGCCCTCAACAGAACGAAACCAGTAATTACCAGAGGTATTATCTCCTCCAGTGGAACTACAGAGAACTCCAGTCACTTGTAATATTTGAATGTGAAAATAATAGTATTTGGTTGGGGATGGCTCAGTGGATAAAGATGCCTGTCACCTAGCCTGAGGTCCTGAAATCAGTGATCAGGTCAAGAGAAAAAACTGACTCCTGAAAGTTATCCTCTGACCTCTGCATGAGTGCCATAGCAGAAAATATACCAAATAAATAAATGTAAAAAAAAATCTTATAAATATGATGGTATGTTTATGTCTTAAAAAGAGCCTCCCTGTTGTGTTGTCCCGTCCCTTCCCATGTGTTGTCCCCTTCCCTCCCCATCCCCCCAAACCCCCCACGCTTTGGTGTTGGAGACTGAATTAGAACAGAAAAAGACAGAAATTAGTATTGAACTTTTGGGGAATGAGGGTGTTACCCAGTGGTAGAGAGCTTGCTTAGCGTGTGTGAGGTCCTAGGGTCAATCTTCAGCACTGCAAACACACACACACACACACACACACACACACACACACACACACACCAACAACCAACAAAAACTAAAACTTTAGATTTTTTTTGTAAATTGTTTAAAATTATATTGTTTCTTAATATTCTTAGACTTGTGATTTAATGAATTCATGCTTACTGATTACAAATGTTCAGGAGCCAAGGTCTACCAACAAGGCGGCAGCATCATCTAAGTGTGACGACAGCATTCACTCCTCCTTCAGTTATGCTTCGGCTCCGAGTTGTCTTTGCTGAATATTTTAGATCAAGAACACTGCATGAAGAACCTGTTTGACTGGTTTTGTTTTAGACTCCACTACGTTTATTATCTGTTTTCTTTTTAGCACGTCCAGACCAAGGTTTGTCCAGAAAAATGGCAAATGGAGCAGGTAAGAAGGGAAGCAGTCTGGAGGAGCCGACTGGAGTCTGGGGGCTAGACTGCTGGGTTAGCATTCAGAAGGTTCAGTTCCCAGGCCAGCACAAAACTGGGCGTGACACCACATGCCTGTAATCCCAACACCTGGGAGGTGGAGGCAGAAGGACCAGGGGTTCAAAGTCATCCTCAGCTACATAGGGACTTTGAGACCAGATTGAGATACTTGTGATCCTGTAAAAATAATAAAGACAAAATAAAAGCAGTATGGTGACGGGTTTCTCGATGCCCTCCTTAACCTCTTGTTCCAACAATGTCCATGTTCCGACCCCTCCCTTATCTCTGAGGAACTGTTGCCTTTTTCCTCTGCTCGCTGTTTTTGGGTGGAGAGAAGAGTGGTTTTGCTTTGTGTCATCAGGTCCCTTAGTTGGTCATTTTTCTGGCAGGGTTCCATGAGGTCGTCATCTTCCGACCCCCCCCCAGTCGGAGGCTTTGTCCTCATCTGTGCAGGTCAAGTCTACCCATGAGGGAATCAGATGGATGCATAAGAAGGAATGTCAAATGCCAATGTGTTCACTTGCTGCCAGGAGTGGAACTGCCAAATGGGTCAGGGACTAGTTTCCACAGGGCAGCTCATTATCTAGTGGGAGGGTTCCCATGAGAACAAGTACATCACAGAGAGGGGTCTGCTGACCCCAGACAGGCCGGCCCAGGGGCATATTTTTTTATCTCCTATTTTTTCATGACAGTATAATAATTAATTAATTAATGTTCTTTTGGGAGGAGTTTGTCTCAATCTGCAAACAGTGGACAGCAAAGCCAGAAGGGATCTCAGGTTGTCTGTCTCCAAAATCTGAGTCTCCCCTACTCACTTGACAGCCTTGCCGTTCTTCGATGGCGACCTCCACAGGCCCTTCCAAGGCACCTCTCCTCAGAAGCTTGCCACATTTAACCTTACCTCTGTATAAATCTCCGCATCTCCTCCTTCACTTTGGGCTCCTTTTCTTCACAGTCCTTCTAGCTTGTAATGACCCCCAAACTCACAGGACATGTAACAGATCCCCAAACCTAGTTGCTTAAAGCAGCAATTATTTCAGGATCTTTCATGACTTCTGTAGGTCAGGAATTGGACAGCATTTGTGTAGGCAATGCTGGCTTCTATCCTTTTGCGGAACTGTAGACAATCGGAGGCTAGAAGCAAAACGGTGAAGAACTAAAGAAGCTGTGAGCACAACATAGGGTGTCTGTCTTCAAGCCAAGCCAAGCGTCACCCCCTTTGGGGTGTGACGATGACTCTATGCTGGCTCTCTGTGTGGGTTAGTTTGAGCTTCCTCACAACATGGTGGCCTTGGAGCAATCAGGTTCTGTAGGTGGTAGCGAACCCCCCTCAGCTGGTGTCACTTTTGCCATATTCTTTAGTTGGCCAGGAAAGTCACTAGAACCTGCTCAGTTTCAAGGAGAAGAGACATAGATCCTGACACTCAGTAGGGCGATTGTCAAAGCAACATGATGAAGAGTATTTGTAGATAGGAGTCACTCTGTACCTAACAGGCTTTGCTGTAGGAAGCCTGAGGTTTCTGGTGTCTCCATCTTTGCCTCTCAACATGAAGGTCAAGTTCTACTGGAGGGGAAATCGTGATGCCTGTCAGTGGATTAAATGAGCTGGGACCCTAGGGTTCCTAGGTGCCCTGGGTATAAGGTTTCCAGAAAGAGTGTAGGTGCCCTGTATCAAGGGAACATCTTGAGGCTTTCGTTGTGGCCTCCTTTGTCGAGTTCCTCTCTTCTTCCCACAGCTGGCAGTACCGAGGGAAAATGCTACACATGGGTAGCTTCTCATGTAGAAAGAGAAGCTGTCTGTAGACGCCCCTAAAAGTTTGTCGTAGATCTTGTTTGATTAAAAGCACAAAATTTTGCCCAGTTTTTCAGTGTCTGTCTTGTGAACAAGTAGAGCCACCACTAACCCATATAGGACAGCTGTGGTCAAGACCCTCCAAATGTCTTAGTAAGGTTTATTATTACCATGATGAAAGGCCATGACCGTAAGCAACTTGGGGAGGAAAGAATTTGTTTGACTTACACTTCCACATCGTAGTTCATCACTGAAGGAAGTCAGGACAGGAACTCAAACAGGGAAGGAAGGAACTCGGTGACAGGAGCTGATGCAGAGGCTATGGAGGAGTGCTGCTTACTGGCTTGCTCATCACGACTTGTTCCTTCCTTTTCTTCCTTCCTTTCTTCCTTCCTCCCTTCCTTTCTTTTTTGTTTTCTTTTCAAGACAGGGTTTCTCTGTGTAGCTCTGGCTGTCCTGGAACTCTCTCTATAGATCAGGATGGCCTCAAACTCAAATATTTACCTCCCTCTGACTCTCCCAAGTGTTGGGATTAAAAGTGTATCCCACTATGTCCAGGCTATTAGCCTGCTTTCTTATAGGACCCAGGACCAGCAGCCCAGGGATGGCACTACA